TTTTTTTTTTATTATTTTTTTTTTTTTTTTTTAATTCAATTATATTAATATAATTAATTTAAAATATGTTTTATGTTTGTAGGATGTCTAACTGGATGAAAAAAATAGGAATGGGAAAAGGAAAGGGTCCCCTGATTCGTCCTCCTGCAAATCCGGTGGAGGAGAATACTGCGGAACGGGAGGGCAGAACGCACAACCGTAATGTTACCAGTTCTAAACGTCGTGGGGAACGGACTGGTGCTTTTGTACAACCGCGTATGACAATTGAGGAGGAGGAGGAGTCAGAGGCAGAGCCCGAGCAGGAGATGGATACATATATGGATCCCCACGAGGACGAGTACGATCCAGGACTACGTTTTCAGCAGAAGTATCAGTTCCCGGTGCCTGATTTGCCATCCGATGATGATGACGAGGACGGTTTGACTCCGCCTCCGCCTCCGGCTTATACAATGGCTGGTACTTCCGGTGGTTCTACTCCTGCCCCAAACCCGAGGTCCCGGCCCGGTCCGAAAAAAACTCTTCCTACTCGACCGTGGAAGTTGATTGGTGAGACACCCGGTGGACCAAAATACCCTCATTTGATTCCGAGTTTTGGAGCCCATATTGCCTACGACATCTGGGAGGGAAAGGTAATACTTATTAATTTTAATAAATTTTGGTTAAAATGTTTATAGTTGTTTTTTCTATTCTTAAATATCAATATATATTCTTAAATATCAATATATATTCAATAGGGCCGACATATGCTGAAGTTGCGGTCTCATGCGAAGTCTACTTGGTCGGGCCCCGACGACTATTATAGTGTTTCACTACTGGAGAGTACTGGGTTGTATCACTTGCGTTATTGTTCGCTCCCTCAGCACAATAACCCGTTGATAGAGGCTTTTATCGAGAGGTGGCAGCCAGACACCAACAGCTTTCACATGCCGTTTGGAGAGATGACAATTACTCTCCACGATGTGCACTATATCATGCATTTGCGAGTTAGTGGAAAGCGCCCTAACGTTTGGATTGATAAGGTAGATGCGATTTATGCGGGTGCGAGAGCGTTCGGTGTCGAGCCCCCAGTTATGGAGAAGTGGTATGGAGGCGGATCCCGGTTAGATGATTTGGATAGGATGTATAGCGACGATTCTTCATTTGCTTCCGAGTTTCGGGTACGAGCATATATTGCGTACTTGCTTGGAAAGCTATTGTTTGTCGATAAGAGTGGATCGAAGGTGAAAGCACAATAAATGAATTTTTTAAACTATTGAAGGCAATTTAATATATTATTTTGTTATTATTGTTTAGTTAAGGTAAAAAGAAATGGATATGTTATAACAGGTATCTAATATATAATTCATGAATAAGATCATTTAATAGAAATCACATTTGAATTTGAATTTGAATTTTGAATTTTCAATATAAACATGTGTTAAATAATAAAAATAAATTATTGCACGGTAGAGTCGAAAATTTGACTCATCAAAAAAGAAAAAAAAAATTGGAAAAATTTGAACATGGTATATGGCATATGAAATATATGGTAATTTGTTAAATAACAAAAAATTATTGAATTCTATTTGACCTTTTCTTTTATATTCTTATAGTTTTAAAATATTGTAGATCGAAATTACGAAGATTGTAATGAAAATTAATTATAGCATGAATGAGGGTAACTTTGAAATAATTTGATATAATTTGTAAAACATTAAAAAAAGATTATTATATTTATAAATTTTATTTTTTAGACAAAAGATTAATTCATATGTTGTTAAGAAAAGTTGTATATAATCTAATATTTTTTGACAATTATCGACAATTATTAAGATGGTAATGACAATTTGTTCATAACATTAATTAGGTCAATTTACAATTATTTGATATATTTGTATATGGTAGTTAATTGAAGAGTATTAAATAATCTTTTCTTTTCTTAGTGAACAAAAAAAATACACACACACACAAACGGATATTCATTTTAATTTGTAAGTAAACATACATAAAATACAATATTTTCCATATATTTACTACGACAATTAAAACAAATCAATTTAAATAAGTAAGAAATTGGATTCAATAATGAAAATACGAATAATTGATTAACAAAGTAATAAAATCAAAAAGACCTAATACATGAAGTATAATAAAAAATATCAAACCAAAATATTACAATCTTCGTTATAAAAGATTAAAAAAAATATGTGAATTAATTTTTTATCATTGAATACAATCTTACTTGTCAAACATTTACAATCTTACCCAAATTACAACATTTGCATGATGTACAACGTCATAATGTTGATTTTTCAACGATTTCATCACAACACACGATGTTAGCCATGCATGCACCTGCACACCAATTTTTTGTTTTTGAATCTATCAGCAAACATTTCCACAAACTAAAATAACATAAATTATTTGGTAAATTAATAGGCATCGAACCAGATAAATTAAAACAATACGTAACAATAAATAATTACAGAAAAACAGAATTACTTGAAAAAAATATGATGGTGTATACCATTTCGTTTTTCGTGTGAATATAAACACAATTGAGTGCATAGTACGAATGTAATGTAATGTGTTTGAGTGGAGTTATTTATACATATTTTTTTAACATAAAAAAGGAATTCATCTTTTATCAAGGAAATATACATAAAATCTTATAATTTCTAGAAGTGATTGATTAATTTATAATTAATACTTATACATTTTTTTTTTGACATAAAAAAGGAATTCACCTTTTGTTAAGGAAAGATACATAAAATCTTATCATTTCTAGAAGTGATTTATTAATTTATAATTAATACAATGGATACATATAAAGATAATTATTGATTTTTTTTTTCCAAATCTTGTTAAGCTGGCATAGTTTTATATACTTCAAAAGATCAATTATATATACACGGGAGATTTTGTTGCAACCAAAAGATTTGTTTCTATTTATTTCTCTTAATTAAATGAAAAAGATAATTAAAGAAGGAAGTCAAAAAATGAAATAAATGAAAAATGTAGGATCAAAATTGAAGATGTCAAAATTTTGATTATATATTTATACGTTGTATTTTAAACAAATATAATTTATTGAATGCATATTCTAATATTATATAATTACGAAAATTAAAAAAATGTATTTTTATTATTAAAATCAGTCGATTATTACAATGAAAAAAAATTCCTAAAATTTATTTGAATATATATAAAAAAAAATGGACATTCAAACAAATATATTTCGAAATTAAAAGTATAAATAAGATAAATATTTTTCGAATTTAAATATAGATTAAATGCATTAGAGAATAAATTTATATGCGGTATAATAGAATAATTTGAAATACGCTATAATAGAAATTATATACAAAGAATATTGTATATTTATTAAATAGTTCAATTAAAAAATAAAAAATAAAAATTTATAATTATTTTTAATGGAGTGGATATTCGAATATTCCAAAATATTGAAAAAAAAACGTACTCCTTTATTTAATATTTTAATATTAAAAAAATAATTTTTCTGAAAATTATTTGAATATTCGTAAAAAAAATGAGTATCATGAATTTTTTCAATAAATATATTTTGAAATATTGGAAATGTAAATAAGATTTTTTTATTTCGAATTTAAAAAATATTAATTTTGAAAATAATATATATACACGTGGTAATTGTTTAAATGAGTGTATAAATGCTTAATAGGAAATAACTTAAATACATACCAAAATAAAATTGACAACTCACCAATTGGAGAATCCACCTCATCAATTGAACTCCAACTAAGCAATTTTAATAAATGACATCATCATTTGCCACATGTCAATCATTGAGGGCATATATCCTCTTTTTATATTATATATAGATTTTAGTATTTAAAAAAAAAAATTATGAAAATTATTTGAATATTCGTAAAACAATTGAGTTTCATGAATTTATTTGAATAAATATATTTTGAAATACTGAAAATATAAATAAGATTTTTTTTTATTTCGAATTTGTAAAATATTAACTTTGGAAATAATATATATACGTGTGGTAATTATTAAATGATTGTGTAAATGTAAAATAGGAAAAAACTTAAAAACATCCATAAATAAAAATGCCACCTAATCAATTGCAGAATCCACCTAATCAATTGAACTCCAACTAAGCAATTTTGACAAATGACATCATCATTTGCCACATGTCAATCATTGAGGGCATAGATTCTCTTTTTATATTATATATAGATAGATTGATTTCATTTTATTCGCATATTTAATATTACATCTCATTAATAATTAACAATGCTTATTAAATCATTGATACTGGATTTTATAGATGTTACATCCAGTGAAATATATTGGTGATTTGAACCACTGGTCTACACATAATAACACACACATATTTGTCTGGTTAGTGAGTGGTTATTTATATAGATTCATGGTGTAAAAAAACATCCAATGTATATATTTCATCAAGTATAGCATCTCATATATACACAGTTAATAATGCTCGTGTCTCACAAAGTCAAAATTAATTAACAAAATCTTATTCCTTACTTTTCATATCCAAATGGAATCGTGCCTCTATAACTTAATTAATAAAATATTGTATGGTTAATTACTTAATTTGAGTGTTCTTTGCAAAGATAAGATAATTCTCAAGTTTTTTAACATACATAATATTTGTTATAATACCCCTAGGAGTAGGGAAAAAAACAATTCTTTTACGGGCGAATGGCAAAAAGGTCCATTACAAGGGACTTAAATATACATTAATCCACAAAAAAAAAAAAACAGTTTTTCAAATAAACTCATCCCGATGTCTTTAGTTAAAAACATCATCCATAATATATTTTTTGTCAATTCCATCCATTATGCTCTAACTTCCTTAACATTACACATTGATCCCAGATTTAAACAAATATATCACATTAACCCCCATTTTAATAATTTTTTGACAAAATTTTCTTTTTCAGAAAATAATTTTTTTTCTGAATTTTTTTTTCCAGCCAGATTCCGGAAAAAAATTCCATCCAATATTGTATTTGACTTTTTTTTCAATTTTTTTTTTTTGAAATTTTGAAATTTCTTAGAAAAAATATTTTAATTAATATTATTGTCTTGGCTGCTAAATTACTGTCTGGGAAAGTAATATTATGAATATTATTTTTCCGAATAGTAATATTACTAAGATTACTGTCCAAACTGTAATATTATTGCATAAGACAGTAATATTACGGTCGAAGTCAGTAATATTACAGTCGAATACAATAAAAATGCAGGCCAAAACGATAAAATTAATTAATACAGTAATATTAATGTCTAAGACAGTTAAATTATTGTTGGAGGCAATAATTTAGCAGCCAAGACAGTAATTTAATTAAAATATTTTTTTTAAGAAAAAACAAAATTTCAAAAAAAAAAAAAAAGACAATTAACAATTAAATTACTGTCTCCGACAGTTAAATAACTGCTGGAGATAGTAATTTAGCAGCCAAGACAGTAATATTAATTAAAATATTTTTTTTAATAAAAAAAAAGTCGAATTACTGTCTCCGGCACTTAAATAACTGCTGGAGACAGTAAATTAGCAGCCAAGACAATAATATTAATAAAAAACAATAAGAAAAAAAAAGTCAATTAACAGTTAAAATTACGTCTCCGACAGTTAAATAACTGCTGGAGACAGAATTTAGCAGCCAATACAGTAATATTAATTTAAATATTTTTTTAAAAAAAAAAGTCAATGCGGAGACCGGCGGTCAAGGGCGGCTGACCGGCGATCTCCCGTGAGGCAGATCAAAATTAAAATTAGGGTTAAAATTGGTTAATTAGTGAAATTAGGCTGAATTGGGTGTAAATCATGAAATTTGAGTTGAATTGGTTTTCAATGAATTGAAGGTAATTTTAGTATATATAAAATGATTTTCCTTATTTGCAAATAAGTTTGAACGAACTGAATTTATTTGAAAAACAAAAAAGTTGGATGTCCCTCTTTTAATTAAGTGCTCTTGTCATGGACATATTTGACATTTGCCCTTCTTTTATATATCAAATAAGATTATCTCTAGAAAATAATCATAATCAAATTTTAGCCATGGATTATATAGAAGAAAAGTATAAAGAAGCAAATTTTGTTTATCATTGAAAATAGTAACAAGTATTAAAAGTTTACCATACATAAAAGAAAACTATTACGTATTCGGGTAGGATTTTTCGACTCGAATACAATCATTGACTTCTAATACTCAATCCGATTAAAGTGAGCTAAAGC